ATGTGAAGGCAGGGAGGTGGAGACTAATTATGGACCCAATTAAAATTTCTGCAGGAATGAAAAGTGTAGTCTAAGAGCTAACATAGACACAACAGAAAGCAAATCCTTCAATGGACTGTGGCTTCTGTGACAGAAACCAGGTTTTGCTCTGGTTTTACAAGGGGACTGAGACTGCTTAATAAGAATACTTGAGAAAAGTTAACCCATTGTAGATTATATAAGGTTTTTGAGTTTAAAAAAAAAAAAAAAAAACTTATATATATATTTCTGTGGATGTCGTGGAGAATTATCTATTTGTGGGGATCCGTGTCATTTCAGGAGGTTTGATTTTTAAACACATTGATCCAAATATTAGTGTTAAAGGTGGTGTTGCATTCACCTGTGTTTCATTCAAATGCATAGCATAATACAATACAAACTGATTTATTATTATTTTTAGCTATCCTTGCAGGTCTGTAGAGGAGGGGACTTTTGAACTAAAATGCAAGTCGTTCATAGCCTGCTTTCATTGGGAGAAATTTACTTTCTCTTTTGTTGTTCTTGCCCCTAATGTAAGCTACTTTCTAGTATGTTGAATGAAGGAATAAGAAGTTGTGGAATGCAAATTGTTTGCACAAAATAAAATTAGAGAATGAGCAGGTTAATTTCAAGGCAAAGGAAATAATGAAAAGGCAAAATGAGGGGTAGTGTGCAGGAAAAAGATGATAGAGGTGTTTATTCAGGAAGGAAAGGTGGTAAATGAGGCTGTGCTACTAGACCAGCATTCTGTGACCAAGTTTTGTCTTCTGAATTGCCAGCTGTATTTGTGATGTAGTATGTTCTCTTTAAGAGGCTTGCTGTCCTTGTGGACATGCATTTTTTTGGAGTGTCCATATATTTTTCCTTGGCCTTGGCTGGACACAACAAGTTAACATTCAGTTCCTCTGGGGATCATGGGGGAAAGGTAGTGCCCATGGCACAGACAACCTAAGCTCTTTTGCAACATCCCTGCGAGGGAAAACTACTTTGCTGACATACAATAAGTCTTTGGATCAGCTGAGTAGAGGTTTTATCTATTAGGCTCTTGGAGTCACGTGATTGCAACAGCATCATTTACAATAATTAATAACTCTTGAGCTCTCTGGAAACAACTGTGGCGTGCTACTGTGCATGTGTGTGTAGTACTGTTCCTCTGACAGCAAGTTCTGGGGAAAATGAAGTGCCTGTACTCAGATGTATTGTTTGATGTATGAAAATCCTGCCTTTGTCTACCAGACCAGAGCAGCGTTCCTTCCAGACTTTGTGAAGTGACCATGTAATCTCTTGGTAGGAGCGAATTACCACACAGGTAGAAGAGGTCCTCCCTGGTTGATAGTGGATGGAATCTGTTACAGCCCCAGCTAAAAGATTATCTTCATGCTTTTCATAGGTGTCCCAATCTCTGGTCTCTACTGGTCAAAGTAGCAGTGACTCCATGCAATCAAGCCTTGGAAACAAGTGTCTATTTAAGGCTCAGTATGCTGTTCAGTGCTTTGCTGAATTAGAGCCAGCGTGGGTCAGCACACCGTCATATTCCAAGCTGTACAGACTTGCTGTGGCAGACTGGAATGAAAATACCAAGCACTGAAACTGTCTGTAGGGCTGAGAGGACTTTCAAGTAGTGAAACAGAATGAGAACCCTACTATGGGGTAATGAGCCACAGCACAATTTATCAAAGGCTGTGGTTGTCTCTGACTGTGGACATTTTTTAATCCCTACTGGATGTTTTCCTACAAGGTCTGCTCATTCGAATAGGTTTTAATTTAGGAGAATCCTTTGCCAGAGGTTAGGCACAGTAATTATTGAAGTATTTCATGGCTTCGTTTACATTTCTACGGGCACTTAAGTAAGCAGTTTCAGGGCATGTCAAATACAAGAAGACATAAAGACAAGATGCTTTGCACTAAATAAAGTTCAGACTGAAAGCTACAAAAGCAGGGTTCTCCCATAGTAATTAATAGTTGTATGTGCCTGACACTGTGAAGTGTTTATGTAACAACCATATGGCCTTAGGTTTTCAACTTGGAAAGAAAATGTACATTTTTCAGGAGTAAATCTTAGTTATCAAATCAATAGACAAGGGATGGTTTCCATCCCTAAACTCTGGTAAAATATCCTAACATCTACAATATGTGCAAACTGATGACCTTGGCAAAAAGCCTACAACCATAACAACCCCTTGAATAGGTGGGAGGAAAGTGATACAGGATTTACAAGTGATTTGGAAATTATGTGAGTGCATCTTTTGTTTTTCAAGGAAAGTCAAAGCTTCATGGTTACCACTGAGTACGTAGAATGACTCGGTTTAAAAACAATCTGGGGTAATGTTTGGACCTTTTAAAGTTAATGGCTTATCTCTCTTGATTTAGCAGACTTTTCAAAAACAAAACTTAAAAGAAGCTTAGGCAGTCAGCTGCCATCTACTGCCCTCTTAAAATCCAAGCAGAACAACCACCAATCCCTCTCTTACTGTGGTCCCCTTATGTTGACTGGGTAGTGCTAGATTTGTGAAAAAAAATCTTTTTCAGGGTTTTTAAACCCTGAATTTACAATTGCACATGGGTATTGATAAAGCTTGACAAAAAGCTTTATAAAATAGTTGTTTCAGGTTTTACCAGCAGGGATTTGATTGGAGTCTCAGTACAGATAATAGTTTGTCATGATGCATTTGCCGGTGCTGCAGATCATTATATTCCCATATAAATGCCAATACTTCAAATGTGTAAGGTGTTTCGGCGTTGCTCCCAAATGCTCAGCTTTCTGGCAGTGGCTGATTGCTTGCTGTGAAGTCTTTGTAGTTGAGGGAATGTGAATCTGGTGCTAGCTGATGCTGCTTAATTATTTGATTATCCTACTCCTGGCATTTTGTTTGATTCTTTTCTTCAGTTATGATTGACTTGAGGCTTCCTTTGAGAACTCGTGGGTGCAAAAAACTGTTATTGTATCCTGTGTTTATGACAACAGGATCTTCATTTGCTTCTGTTTTGTCATGACACCACCTCAGTGGAAATGATTCTAGAATCTAACTTAAAGTGGATGTTACTGAAGATCAGGAGCCTTGATTCCATGCAGGTACCTAGCTGACTTGTCAGGGTGATGTGCAGGTGATGGTGTATGGCAAATGTTATCTGTGTGAAATCGTGAACCCTAGCTTTTAAAATACGGGGCAGAGAGATCCTTCCCTTTTTGGCTTCCCTCACAGAACTCATGGCTTTGGCTTGGGACTTGAGATGTTTATTTTCTGAAACAATTCCCTAGTGAATATAAAGTACATTGCATTTGCATTTCACATGCAAATGGGTGCAGGCAGCATATCTTAAAGAGAAAATAAATTGCCGTGTTGAAAATGAATGTTCTGACAAGCCACGCATTGACAATTCATCACACTATCCCTGCTAATTTGAGCCCTAGTTTTGTGCCTAGCCTACATGCTGTCCATCTGCATAGCGGGGTGTTGCGCTGTCTGAATTCACAGACCTGCTCAGGAACTGATATTTGGAACAACCAGTGAACAAATGATAAAAGCAGGGGCAGAGAATACTGTGCTGTGGTGAGTGGGAGGCCCGGGAAGCTTTACAGTTGTCTTTCTCAGTTTGTCCACTGGCTGCCCTTACTACTAGTGTGTCTTGGATAGTGACTGATATTCTTTAAGTTAAAAAGAAACTCAGCCTCATAACTATTTGGCAGAATGTGTACATTTAAAGGGGGGTCTATTTATGCTGAGATGCAGAATGGATAATAACTAATATCATTGTCTGTTTTTTTTAATCTGAACTGCAGCTTTTTATAGTAATGAGAAGAACTGCTTGGCCCAGCAGCATACAGTGTTGCTGATGAATGAAGGTCTATTTATTGACTTGATTGACATAGGAGATGCTTAAAGGGTAGACTTAGATTTCTGTGCTGAAATGATATTTGTGAATGAACTTAATCTAAGTTTCTGAACAGTGAGCCTGAACGTTCATAAGAGATGGCCCATATGAAAATCTTTAGCTTTTATGAAAACAGTAGCTTAAAATGCCTTCCCTGGATTCACAGGGAAGAGGCTGAGTCAACTCTACTGGTTGCACATGGAGGCAGCAAATAACCCCAGTAGCTGTATCTACTTGATAGAGATGGTGAGATCAAGGGATTTATCTTAGAAGTGAAGACACATAAGCAACTATTTGAGAAGAAAAGACTTGAAAATGTGTCTAATCCAGACTAAAGTACATATATTGGATAGTCAGAAGTTAAGTACAGATGTGTTGTTTGTTGAGATTCAGGTCTGTCAACGGTGACACAAACTCACATATGGTATTAAGGCATTCCTGGGCATGTTGGTATTGGTTTTGTGTTTTTAACTATGAAGTTACCATCAAAGAAACTGAGGCTGCCTCTGCCACCTTTCTCCTTCCAGTTCTTCCTATGCTGAGTTCTTGCAGCAGCCCCTGTTGCATTCCTCAGCATAGGAATGTTGTTTGGGTCCCCAAGGCTTGGATTGTCTCCTGTGAGAAATGTATATCCTTCAAATTTCTCTGAAATTGGAATAAGAGTGCAGTGTCCAGACATGAACCAAAAAAAATAGCATCTTTGACTCCTGTTAGGAAACAACATTGCATAGAGCTTTGCACTATGACTTGTTTCAAACAACATGACTTATTTCCCAGGCTAGAAATCAAGTCTCTTCTCTGCAGTGGCCAAAGGATAGCGATGTCGTGGGTGTTGTGGGGTGCGTGTTTTTTCCTTTTTTGTGAGATTTTGAGTACTGTCTTCTGTTCCTTGTGTAAGCTGAGTATCATAGCCATATTTTTCAATATGTAACTTTACTAGCCTGTTACAGCAGTGTGTGTGTGTATTTTACTATTATTATTTTTAAATTAAGCTAAGTTATTTAGCTTATTAGAATATTTATAATAAGGGCTCTAATGTGTGGACCTCAGTTAACTGAATGCACCTGTATTTTCCCTGACAATGTGATCTGAATCATGTATTAAAATAGGGCAGGAAGGCCGTCCTGGCTAGAGTACTCCCTGATGTGATGCTGAGTTTCTCCAGCCACAGCTGCTGCCTGTACCTTCCTGCATGCTCCCAGCGCACACTTTTTTGCAGAGGAAGTGTCTTTGCTCAGCAACTGCCTCCTGGTTGTCCTTGCATCTTTCTTGGTAAAGAAGCTGCTACAACAACAGTGCATGAGGCAGGATGAGCTTAATTTAAAAATAATAGAATAAATTATTCTAGAATAGAATTAAGCTAAGAATTGTTTCAGGGCCTGTCAAAACTTAGGCAAGGAGGCTTCATTTTTAAGGATATAAATGTGTTTTCTAGACTAAATGTACTATATGCTGCTTTAGTGACAGCTTTCTTCTTCTGGCAAGGAGACGAAGGGAGATAATTTGTTATCAAGTGCACTGTATGCCATGTAACTCTAGGAGCAAAGAATGATCAGGAATGGCTGGAATTATAAATGAGTAGTCTTGAGGATTTCTTGATATTGAAGATAGCATTCATACAGTTAGGGTGTTCACCCCCCAGTTATGTTGGGTTTCTAACCTGTATATAAGTCAGCATTTGTTTCCCTATGAGAACAGGTGGAAAACAATGGTTGTGCTTTGTTTGGTTTTGTTTTTCTGTTACAAGACTTCTGAAAGCTTAGAGCTTGGAGAAAACATGCTAATCAGGGCTGAGTCTGGTTAGATACAGATGTGTGCTACGTTCCTATCTGGGAGACGGCCACATATATTAATAAATTAATAAAACCTCTTCTGTTAAAACAATATGAATAGAATGATGATCAATATTCTGCACCTGCTGTAAGCTAGAGAATTTATACACCTTAGCATGAAGCAATGTTGAAATGTCTGAATTTGTGCATGTGGTCATGTCCTGTCAACAGCAGTGATCTGATGGTGCTGGTTAGTCCAAAGCACGCTTCTATTTTGGAGTTGTCTGTTAGCTGTAATTATCACCGTTACTGATCATAACCTTCTTACCCTGTGGTAATGCCTCAGGAAATTTTGTGCAGGATTTGCTGCAATGATAATTATGCTTCCCTAGGATAAGCTTATCTTCTGCATGGCGGTGGTATTGGGCATTGTGTTCTTGTATGTGAAAGTGTTGCAAATAGTCACTTGTCTCTTATTAGATTCCACAGTAAGAACAGGATCTGATCTGTGTGGAGATGGATCTGCTTGCTCTCCACCCAGGACTGCCCAGGACCTCCTGCGGCAGGCTGTCTCGTGTGTTTAGGCACAACCTGACACAGTTCAGGAACACAGAAATGGACTAGCAACAGAAACAGACCTGTGAGGACTTGAGACTTGTGTCCACCCTTCTAAGCCTTGCTACCAGTACTAGTCATTAACAAATTATAAACTATGATACGCTGGAGCTTGAATGTTGATCTTGTGCATCTCTTTGTATAGTAGAAGGCCCAAGTCCGCAGTAGGCTCCCTTGAGGTATAGTCTGATGGGTAATATGCTGTTTGCCATTTTTCTGCCTTGGAGCGGAGCGGGTCAGATGACTGCTTCCCATCTCAATTTTCCATGCTGTGGGGTTGATGAGACCTTACCTTTGTGAGACAATTTAGACTTTAAATGCTCTGCATTATAATAATAAGGAGCCAAAGTGCGTTATAGTGCTTCTTGTCTGCCTTTGTTATTAAATCAGTTGCTGGGAGGCCAAAGTGAGCTTCTGATTTTAATGTTGTGCTGCTAAACTTCGACATTACCTCCTCCTTCCTTTTTTTTTTTTCCTGGTTAAGAGTGGAAATGTGTCCAAATCCACTCCAAAAATAGCACCTTGAATTTAAAACTTGATTTACCTTTCCATTTTGAAGAGTACGCGCAGCACTTGCAGCCTGATCTTTCTATTCCTTTCAATCTAACCACAAGCCTTTTATCTGTGAATGCATTTTAATTACAGTGGAAATAAGAGGCTTTAGGAGGTGAAACTGCTGTCATTTCAGCCACATTCACCTGCCTGGTGCAGCACGCAGAGAATATCCTTGTCAAGAGGAAGCTTTGCTCTTGGAATTGATTTATAAATAGACTTCCAGGATGTGAACCTCCCGTATACTTTGAGGAAATTGGCATACACCTGAGCTGCACTGAAAGATGGCCTTGCCATGAATTTCTTATGACTCTGTAGACACGTTTTTTGGACTTTCAATAGAAAACTCCGTGAGTAATGGGTGCGTAGCTGAGTAATGAACAACTGTGTTAATTTTCTGGTAGGAAAGCCACAGCATATGAAGACCTTGGCTCTTTATGTGAGCTGCCATTCCACATAAACTTTTACAGGTACTGGTCGCACTGTTAAGTTTCCATACATGCTTGAACACATAAGTTTTTCCTTGTGGAGGAATCCTTGGTCTTTTTAGTTCATCACCCCTGTATAACAAGTGCTAATAGCACTCAGTCATTTCACAGGTGTGTCACAAGGACATATATCAGAGGCATTTGGTTATAGGGCTGGGAGTGCATGCATTCCTTTGTACAGCAGGGTGACAGTGTACGTGGATGGAAGACACTGATCATTCTCAGGATCTGGGCCAAGGCTTGGCATAGAGGTGGACTCCAGCTCTCTGTAGTGATCCTGCTGTGGGATGAACACTTGAGAAAGTTGTGACTGGGAGAAGGTGGCATTTTTGTCCTTTAACAGCTCCTCCTTCCAAAAGCATCCTGCCTTTTCAGCTGTAGTGAAACCAGGAGTCTGGGAGCACTGGAAGCCCTGTGGTCCCTGCTCCGAGGAGGCTTCAGTTGCTGAATTCTCAGTGGAGTAGTGGAAGTTTGGGCTGGATTTGGAGTAGAGCTGTTTTCCAGTCGTTCATCTATCTCTGAAGGGTGACAGGGTAGAGACTTCAGGATTAACGAATCCAGTTTGGAACTTAAAGTTGATACCATTTTGTTCAAATACTTGGATTATGTGTTTTTTCTCTAAATAAAGTATATGTTTCTTGTTGATACTTTGAAAAATCTCATTGGTTTAAAAACCTAGATCAAATGAGTAATGCATTGTTCAAAATAAGGAGAAACTGTTGTGGACAATTTTTCAGCACTTGACAGCTTCCCAACCAATTTACTAGCTCTCAGCAGAATAAATGAAGCTGGCCTGTCTCTAGCCTGACTGCTGGCTATTTCACAAGCTACCCTGACTGTTCTCTAAATTGAGCCCACGGAGAAGTTGCTGCAACGTGGAAGAACGGACTGAAGGTGCAGGGAGCTAATTAAATTGCAGACATGGGAGGCTGTGAAGCCATGGTTTCATCGCAGAGAAGTCAACTGTATTTAGGGAACAGATGTCCATATTAGCGAGCACATGTTTCCTGAGATCTGCTTCCATGCGTTGTGTGGACATACGGCAGATGTAAGCAGCAGACAGCTGAACTTGTCTGGTAGCCCTGGATTCTGTCTGACAGGGACTGGAGCTGACAAGTATGAAGAGGTGGTCAGCTACGAATGACACCGCACTAATCATTAGTTATGGGACTTCATGCTAGATGTTGCCTCCAGCTGCTGTGTGTAAACATTATTAATTTGTCATGAACTTCTCTAGTTCTCTTTGGAGTGTTCTGGTTTAGCTTTTTGCCTTACAAGTGATGAGTAGTAAAACAATTACCTGAGGCCACAGAGAAGGTCTGAGCCTGAAGGCATGCAGCCATTTGGTTTCAGTTTGGACACGTACAATCTCGTGGAATCTCAGGCAGCTGTAAAACAGATTGGGAAACAGCAAGAACAATCTTTTTGGTGTACTGGAGCAAATAGTAAAGGCTACAAGGTAATGCAGTTGCAGAAAATGTAGCTCTTAATATGCTGAGATGCATTGATAAGAACGTATACATCAGGAGAGATACTTACTCTACTGTTTGATAGAAGAACCCGGTTACATTACTGGTTTAGGCATTCCTGCAAGTGTTGCAAGAACATCTAGATTAACCTCAGAGTCCTACGGTAACCACTGTCCCTTTCTACTAAGAACGGTAAGCTGTAAATATTACTAAATTTTACCTTTAAGAAAAGCAACTGCTTGCTCAATCTAAAAATGAGATCTCTTTTAGTATATAAAGCACTCACAAAAGGAAGGCAATGAGCAAGTTTTCTGTGTCTCATTGAGGTTAAGCCAGGAAGTATTTAACCTAATTAGAAGCAATAAAAATATATGGTTAATACTAGGAAAAGCTTCTTAACAGTGAACACGGAAACTATGTGGACCATGTGGCAGTCGAACCTTGATAGAGTTGAGTTCACTACAGAAAAATGGGGACAGTACCGTGTTTTTCCCTTCTCTAGGATGGCCAGTCTGCTCTTTTTTATTATTTTTCTAATTTTCATTTTTAAGGGCAAATTAAGAATAAGTGAAGAGTTTAGTTATTTGTTTGGTTTGAAGGACAAAACAGTGCACTGAGGCAAGGTAAGCTTCTAAAGAAGGAATCATAGAATCATAGAATATCCTGAGTTGGAAGGGACCCTTAAGGATCATCAAGTCCAACTCTTGACACCGCACAGGTCTACCCAAGTTCAGACCATGTGACTAAGTGCACAGTCCAATCTCTTCTTAAATTCAGTCAGGCTCGGTGCAGTGACCACTTCCCTGGGGAGCCTGTTCCAGTGTGCAACCACTCTCTCTGTGAAGAACCCCTTCCTGATGAATGTTCAGATCTGCTGAGTGAAGCAGCCTTTTAATGGGAATCCTAAAAAAGTCCCACGCTGCTCAGCAAGTTTCTTTGTCCCACTTTAATTTCACAGATTTCAGTCACTTAGGGTTGTGCACAGTCCAAGGCTCCATCCCTCCATCCCCCACCCATTTTGTTTTAACTACCACACGGCTGCTCTCATTCCACTTCCTCAGCAGGATGGTGGGGGAAAGAGATGGAAGAAAAAAAAAAATGTGGGTTTGAGATAGGAGTAATTTGATGAAAAGGGGGAAAAAAAAAAACACAACTGTCTGGAAGTAAAAGAGTGAAGATATTCTCTGCTTCCCATAAGCAGGCAATGTTAGGCCAATTCTTGGGAAGCAGGGCCTCAAAGTTGCTCAAGAAGACAAACACTTTCATAACCAGTCTGTTCTCCCCTCCTGCTTGGGCTTGAAAGAAATTCTGCTGTTCACTCATGCTGTGTTCATCAAAATGATCCTAGCTGAGAAAACACAGCAGTGCACTGCAAAGTGTAGCCTATAGACTGGCTGATAGATGTGTGAAGTTACACACTCCCATAGTTCGGGATAAATGGAGTACTTGCTTTGAAGATATAACTTCCAGGCTTTATGGAGTAGAGGAAATTCAGCTTCTACTCTCTGAGGCACCAGCTTAAAATTTTGCTGTGGTGTCAACAGATAAACGAAGAGTACCTTCTGCATTCTAGTGTTAGAGGTGTAATGGAGAATAAAATAGCATTTCAGTATTACTCTTTGACAAATGCAAAAATCAGATCTTATGTGTCATAATGTTCAGGGATGGATTGAAGAGAGTAGCTAGCGTTTATATTTTGTGGTGGGAGCCTAGGTTTGTGAGAAATCAAATGCAGGTCGCAATGGTTTCCTAAGAGAGACCACAAACTGCTCCTGCAAGGAACTAACTTACAGCTACCCATGTTCAGATCTTTCTTTCTACTGCTACCTGTTATAAGTTGCCCCCTTAATTTTTCAGAGAGCATTGTATTAACCATAGAAAGGAATTTATTGAGCAAGCAAAACAGCGCTGGGTGGCCGGGGAGTCTCTTTTTATATCTTGGTAATTCCAGGATTACGCAGCACATCCTGGTATATTCTGCGACTGCGCGCACTGTTGCTAGGGGGTCGTCTCTGTCCCTCTGGTGGTCGTGAAGATGAAGGCCGTAGTCTTCCTCGGCATTTTGGTTCAACTTCTTTTTTTATTTGGTCATGTTGGCCCAGTGTGAGACAGGAAGACAGGATGTTGATACACTAGGTTAGCAACTTATCAGGAGATGGTTCCATGAGCTTTGCAGCAGTGTCTTTGAACAAAAGAGGCAACTGAGATGCAGAAGGAGAGAAGGGGAGGGGGTTCTCTTTTTTGTTACATTAAGCAAAAGAATTTTCATAGTGTCTAGCCAAGCTTTATACAGCTCCTTACTTCAGCAGGGAGCTTTCGCAACTCCCGTTCCTCAAACAGAACTCCTTGTTTTTATAATACAAAAGACAATGAACAAACATTTAGTGTGTATTACACAGATCAGGCCCAGTCAGCATGGGTTTATGAAAGGCAGGTCCTGATTGGCGAACCTGATCTCCGGCTATGACAAAGTGACGCGCTTAGTGGACGAGGGAAAGACCACAGCCACAGCCTATCTCGACTTCAGTAAGGCTTTTGACGCCATTTCCCACAGCATTCTCCTCCAGAAACTGGCTGCTCATGGCTTGGACTGGTGTATGCTTCGTTGGGCTAAAATCTAGCTGAATAGCCCAGCCCAAAGAGTCGTGGTGAATGGAGTGAATCCAGTTGGAGGCCGGTCACTAGTGGTGACCCCAGGGCTCGGTGGCTGAGTCACCATCCCTGGAGGTCTTTAAAAGATGTTTAGATGTAGAGCTATGTGATATGGTTTAGTGGAGGACTGGTCAGTGTTAGGTCAGAGGTTGGACTAGGTGCTCTTGGAGCTCTCTTCCAACCCAGATGATTCTGTGAGCGTGTGATTAAACTTTGCTTGCCTTGACAAGCCAACGGAACGAACTGCTGAGCCACCTGTGCTAAGTGTCACGGGGCTGGCAGCCCTCAGACCACGGGGAACCGCAGCCTTGGGTGTCAGACTCCTTTCTTCTGGTGACGAAGGGAAAAGCTGAGGCAGAAGCGGCCATCTCACAGCCGTAACGCCCACGTAACGACTGTCACCGCCACCTAACGGCCATGTAACGGTCTCCTCGGGAAGGGCGCTGAGGGGCTGCCTCACACCCGCCAGGCGGAGCCGTGCAGGTGGCAGCTGCGCGGCGAGGCCCGGCCCCTGTTCCTGATCCCTGCCCCCTGTGTCACGACGGTCGGTCTTCATCTTGGTGCTGTGCTCGCACGTGGTGTGAACGCTGACCGGCTGCGTTGTGCGTGTCATTAGCTGCCTGCAGGGAATTACAGCTGGGGCTTGTCCAAACAGCCTGGGCAACTCGATGGCTGTCAGAGCTGAAATGTGAATGCCCCAGCTGCCCCAACTGTGCACTGTATACATAGTAACACAGGCCGTCTGGCCTGGCCGAGGGCTTGGCCCCAAAGCAGCCGCTGGGTTGGGTTTCTGAGCCGGAGTACACTGGCACTGGGCTCGATTCCCAGCCCCCAAAACGCGCTGCTTACTCTCCGTGTGCGAGCGCCCAAAGTGGACAAATGAGCCTGGCTGAGCCCACAAAACACAGCAGCTGGTCTCCCTTTTCAAGCCGCCCACAGCTGCCCAACGAGCCTCCTCTAAAGGCCGAAACCCACAGGACTCTGCCTGCATTGCTGAGCCTGAAAACCAGCCAAACAAGGCTCATTTTGAGCCCCCCAGAGACAGCTGATGACTTCATCTCCACATTGGGCCCCCAAACCAGTGCACAGAGACTGGTGTTGAGCTACAGCGTGCAACATTTCACCTCTGTTTTCCTGCCCCAGCCCAGTTTCCCCAGCTGCCTTCCCAGCCGCCTTCAGCTGCCCCCGTTTTGCTTTTCTTTCTGCCCCAGGCCGTGTTTGTGTAGTCCGTAGGTTCGTGCCCGCGCCAATAGGCACACCGAGTCAGAATCCACACGAAGGCCCTTTAATTCAATAGGAATCCTATAACTCTGCAGAGTCAGGTGCTTGGCGATCTTTCTCAAAGCAAGCACGCCTCTGACTCCAATCACCATAATCTGTACGCAGCAAACTTGTGAAAACCCTCTCTTTGGTTACTTTTGATTGGCTATCTTAGCTCACCTAAGCTATCTCCACTGAGTTTGCTCATGACAGAGGAGCAGCGGTGGAGGGAGGGACACCAAATCCCACATTAACATATGTTAATGCCCCTTTACGAGCAAAAGGTAACTCTAGTCAGAAAACCAGTCTGGAGCTGGCTTTCTCCTCCTTCTTTTGACCCTTTTATCCCTTACCTTCCTTGCTTCTGCTAGCTCAAGGATACCTGTCTCTTTCTTTCGGCTGAAAGACTACACAAGCTACAGGCCTCCCAGTTTTCTTCAAGGTTTTCTTGTTTTTCCCAGCCTTGTGACTACATTTGGACATGGATGGGGGTGATCAGAGTACTGGTGCTTTGGCCATGACCCTCCCCATCCCACCAGTGCTGAGAGGCTTGCACAGGCAGCGCTGCCCGGCCCCAGCTCCCACCAACACCACCCTGGGAAGGACCCGGTCTGCACCCGCTGTGCTCTCTGGACTTTTATTCAGGCCTCTACAAGCTCGGGGATGTCTTCTGTGTCCCCCGAGAGATCTTCTGCATGCTCTGGGATGTCTTCAGCATGCGTTGTGCTCTCTTGGTGCTCCACGCTGGCTTCTGTAGTGTGGGGAAGAAGAGGCAGTGTCAAGATATGGCCCCTGGCCGTGCCCTCCTGGGCACCGTAGGGAAGGCGGCTGGGGCAGCGCTTGGCAGCCCTTGGGCCGCCCCGGTGGGAGCGGAGCAGAGAGCTCGGTCCCGGCTCTCACCAAGGACGTGGAGAGTGGCATCTGTGAAGCGCGTCTCCTGTGGTGACTCCTGCTGGTGCTTCAGTTTCTTCAGCAGCTCGGGAGCAGCTGTCTCCTGGGGGAGAGCAGGGAGGTGTGAATTCTGCTTGGGCCACAGAGGCCTCGTTGCCGAGCCCTCCGACTCCCATGGCCCCAGCATCCCCCCGGGACAGGGCTCACTCACCAGGTAAGAGTAGACATCGCGCTGCAGCTCTGCCCCACTGCACCCGATGGAATTCATGACGACCACCTGCAGCCCCTTTGGCTCAACAAAAGGAGCACAGCTGTAGAGGGCTGTCTTGCAAGCCTGGAAAAGAGCATTGTGCTTGGTCGTTCCTTCTCCTATGCCCGGGAGGCAGCTCCTCAGGGAGCCTTTCTGTGGGACTGCAAAGACGCTCAAGGGGTCCTTACGGTGGATACTGCATAGCTGGGGTCCTGGAGGTGCAGGAAGAGTCTGCCCAACGTCTGCTCCACTTCTGCTCTGAAGAACGTGGTGAGATCGCCCTTGGCGCCAGCAGCCAGGGCCGCGTAGAGATGGAAGGCCGCAAAACGAAGCTCCTTTTGCTCCTGCAACCCAGAAAGCCATCTGTGAGCTGGGTTATGAAGGTACCTCCTCCCAGCCTGCTGGGCCCCAGCAGCTGTTTGCCTGCAGGAGCACCTCCACGCAGCACAGGCAGGCCCCCGCCCACCCCACACCCCTCGGACAAGTGGCAGAAAAGTAGGTTCACTCACGGCATCGAAGAACTTCCTGGTGGAGCGGGCGATGCTTTTGAAGGCCATGCCCGAGCCCTTCGCCGTCTGATTTGCAAATATTTCTTCCAGGGCCAACATGCTCTCCGCAGCCACCCCAGGACAGTCCACCTTCTCCATTTCACGCCCCAGTGCTTCCATGATGTTCCTCTTGTGCCTTCGAAACTGCAAAGCCAAAGATGCGCACAAGCTGCTCGCGGCTGCTGCCCGCAATGCCCACCCTTTCTCTCCACTTCTGTTTCGCAAGGGGGTGCAGCTGCGGCACAACCCCGTGACGAACGGCACTGGCACGTTTGGCAAGAGGTTTCCCCGCAGGCTGCGTGCTGAGCTTGGAGAGCAGCCTGGCTGTTGGGAAGCCGCCATCTGCCTGTGCTGCTCTGCCCCAGGCTCCCCAACTGCCCTGCAGCCCTGCCCGGCTCTCTGCTGGGGGGCTGCAGCCAGAGCAGAGGGAAGTGCACCTCACCTTCTTGGGCAAGCCACTGACAGCACGGCCCAGGCCTCTCGCTGCCATCTGCTTCACAGCACGGCTCGGACTCTTCAGCTTCTCCAGGAAGACCCACACCAGGGGCTTCAGGAGATGCTTCCCCTCAGCTGGCGGGTCCTTCACCACCTACAAGACAGCCAAAGCTCTGTCAGTGCCGAGAAGGGACCTGGGCTGGTCTCTTCCATGAAGAGACACCCCAAGCAGCAGTTTCTTTGGAAAAGCCCTCTGAGCCCGCCCTTCCCCACGCGCCGCCTCACCTCTGCGAAGAAAGCCAGCGCCGTGAGTTGCAGGTTTTGCGAGGGGGAGTGCAGCCACAGCATGAAGCTGTTTATCAGCAAACGTGAGACGAGCTGGGCACGGAGCAGCACTCTGCACAGAGAGCACAAGCAGGTGACGTGGTCAGGTGGGAAGGCCCCGGGCCGCGGCCCGAAACGTCCCCTGCTGCGGTGCAGGCGCTGCCCTGCCTCCCAGGAGAGCTCCCCAGGCACATGGGAAGGGTCCTGCGGCTGCTTCCCGGGGGGAGGTGAGATGCAGCACTGGGCTCTCACCTGGTCAGGAGCTGCACGGCGTTGCAGTGCCACTGAGGCACGTCCAGGGACGGCCACACTCGATGATTCCAGAGCACCCGCTGCCACCTCTCGTCCAGGAGTCTTCCCAGCACTTGTTCCAGAGCAGCGCTGTAGGGTCTGGCGAACGAAAACCCACAGAAAACCCTCAGAAATTTCCACACCTGGGAAACAGGGCAGCCCTTTGTCTCCCTCAGCATCACAAACAAATGTGCCTGGCTGGGGAACTGAAGCCCCCCGTTCCCTGCCCCTGCTGCTCCTTACCCGCACACCAGCTCCTCTTCTTCCATTTCCTTGAAGATTTCTGCCGGAAGACTCAGGGGGGGAAACAGCACCAGTGTCCCCAGTTCAATGCTGACCCACTTCAGGAGGACAGGAAGGAGGCAAAGAAGCACGTCCCGGGTTTCCCTCGTGGTCAGCAGAGCAGACATCACCTCAGAGATGGCACAGAGGAGCTGCAGGAAAATGTGAGCCAAAACAACCTGTTAAACACCGCCTTTCCCACCAGCCCGGTGGTGCCCCTGTCCCCCTGGGGGACTCTTCCTGCCTGCAAGTCTCACACCTTGGGGTGACCCCCAACTCCCTCACCCTGCTGAGCTAAGTGAGAAAGCAGGTGGGAAGCTGTAGAGATGCTCCTGCCGACGAGCATACCTTGAGAGGATCCAGCGGTTGAGCAGCAACCGTGAGCCGACACCTGGCTTCAGATGCCTCGTTCAGTCTCCAAATTAAGTGATACAGCACCTTAGGCCCGAGGTCGCTGCTGCCCAGGCTCCTCCAGAGCCGCTCGTCTCTGCAAGCAAACAGACGTTCACCTGTGAGCCCTGTCCTCTGGGACCCCTGGTGCCCTCCCTCCCCAGAGGCCAAACGCTCTCCTCGCCAGCAGCAGGGCACACGATGCCTGCTTCCCCAGAGACACGAGCGCCCGATCTCGCAGAGCTCAGGCTTCTGGGGGAGGAATGGGACCTGCTGCTTCCCTGGATCCCCCCACTGCAGGCAAGCCGTGGGGTTGCTGTTTGGTGGCCACGGAGGGGCAAGGGGGAGCGCACATACCTCTCTGAGGGCGATTCTGTCTGGAGGAGGGTGTCCACCACAGCCTGGCTGCGGAAGCCGGCCAGGAGACAGAGTGCCTTGAAGAAGAGGTCCTTGAGGGGGCTCTGCTGCACGGTGTGCCTGGCCTCCCACAGGATCTTCATGAATTCAGGCACCTGCAAGGAAAGGGGCGAGAGGGAACACTTCAGCGTATCCTTTGCCTGTGCGGTCCCCTCAGCCCCGCGCTCGGGCTGCGTTTCTTCAGTCCACACGAGGCGCAGCACGACAGCCAGCAGAGAAAAGTCAAGGCCGAGGGGAACAAGTGTCTCCCGTACCTCTGGGTATATTTCGTTTCCTCGTGTCTCCAGGAATGCGATCAGCCAGTCGCCAGCTGCTCGTGCACGCTGCTGGTTAGTGCACGAGAAGGTCTTCGTGATGGAGTCCATGAAGCTCCTGGCCTGTCCCTGGGGGAGGTACTGGCAAACATCCTGGAGAGAGAGGAGAGACTGTCACGGCTCTGCTCCAGCTCTTTCGGACAGAAAGGAGACGCGAGGGGCCTCTGAGCTCCGCAGCTCACTGGTCATTGAGAGGGCACTCGGGGCACACTCCTCTGTGCACACGCTGTTTTTCGTACTTCCTGCAGCGGAGAGGCTTAGAACCATCTCCTCTCGTCTTGTTTCCCTGCGTGCAAAACGCACCTCCTGACAAAGGCACTGGGACCCCACCCCACTCTCTGGAGCCAGTTACCTTCGCTATTTCGGCACGGTCCTCACGCAGAGGCCCGTCCTCCACGGTGTCCAGCCTCTCACACAGCTCCCTGATGCCCTGATGCAAGTGGGGCACTTGGAGCACCACTCTCCGAGCCCTCGCCAGGCCACAAGCTGTGAGAGAAGGGAGTCCTGGTTAGGGGAACTGAATCTCTGGGCCCAGACACGCACAGAGGGGGATGGGGAGCAGTGGCCTCGCTGGGCAGGGAAGGAAGAGAAGATGGGGCTGCTGGGGGCCAGGAAGAACCCGCTTTCCTCACCTTGGATCCGGAGAAGGCAGCTGAGGCAGGCCCCTGCCCTCCGCCGGGACGCGGCCTGGGAGTCGCTCAGCAGAGGCCCCAGCACACCGAGCAAGGAGCCGAAGCCCGAGCAGGCGAGTTCCCTCTGTGGGGGCGAGAGGCAGGAGGAAGGTCGCAGGCAGCCCAGTGCCTGCTCGCCTCCCCGGGCCGTGGCCAGCAGGGAGAGGGAATGGGGCACGCGGGGCTCGTACTCACCGAGCACTTGAAGAGCTCTTCGTAAGTGCCCAGCAGCTGGGCGCAGAGCTGCAGGGCCCTCTCTTGCTGCCACGCGTTCCTTGAGGTGAGTTGGTGCAGCAAGACCTGGGGTGGAGCAGACGTGTCTCGTGACGGGCGTCCTTCTTTCTCCCCCCGCCACCCCTCTCTGCCTCCCTCCCTCCTCTCCTGGCCCCTGCCCTGGGGCTCCGCGTGGCCCCAGCCCCGCCAAGCACCGGCACTGCCACCCCCCTGCCCTCCCCCAGGAGCCGTTTCCCCACCGGCATCTCCCTGTGCCAGCCTGGCTCTTGGCTCTGCCTCCCGCGGGGCCCGTTCCTTTGCCTGCCCTGGCATCGCAGCAGGGAACGGATCCCCCTCGGAGCATCCCCGAAGGCCCCAGCTCTGCCCCATGGCTACTCACCGAGACCATGTCCGCGAAGGCGCGGGAGGTGCCTTCCGCTTGGAGGAAGGCTGACATCAGCTGGCCCAGAGCTTCCTCACACGACGCTTGCAGAGGCTGAAAGCGGGAAAGGAGGACTGAGGTTCAGCACCACGGCAGCTGCCAGAGCACAGGGAGCGCTGAGGTGCGATCCCGACGGAGAGGTGTGCAGGGAAGGGCTGGCAGGTACCTGCAGCTCTGTGTCCGCAGGAGGGCACGACAGGACTCTCCAGCAGCACACGGCCACCTGGGAGCACCTCTTCTCCCAGTCCACGCGAGGCTCCAGCTTGCTGGATGCAGAAAAAGGGGGAGAAAACAGTAAAACAGTGAGGGGCTTTACCAGCCGTCTCCAGAGTGGCCCAAACGCCAGCTGGGTTTGAGCCCCAGAGCCGGCCCCCCCAGCCTGGGGCACAGAGCTCACCTCAACTGCTCCAGCAGCCGAAGCACCTTGAGATGCACTCGGGACACAGGGCTGTCGCAGCCATCCTCCCTCATCAGGTCCTGCAAGGCCCAGAGAGACGCACTCAGGGTGGGCAGGGGCACGGAGGGGCCCGCACCAGCCCCTTCATCCCCACGGCCACCACGGAGCCACCGAGTGCCAGCGCCCCAGGGCCCAGCAGCTGGGGACGAGGAGCTGGGGGGTGGCCGCTGGAGACCTCCGGGAAAAGCTGCCTCCCCTGCGGGCAGCCCCAGCTCCAGGCACTCACCAGCAGGACGTTCAGCACCTCCGGCTTCTTGCAGAGCCTGAATCTCTGCTTGGTGTCCACAACCTGGATGGCACGGGTGACCTCCTGGATACTGTTCACCAGGGCGAGCTTGTGCTGCAGCTCCTGAGACCGGAGAGAGAAAAACACCAGTTGAACTGCTTGGAGAGCTGGGAGAGGAGCACGGGCGAGGGCTTCTTCGGGGCTGGGGCTGGACGTTCAGGACAAAGCACGCAGGGGACGCTCAGAAAGAGGCCGTCCATCTCGGCACGTGGGGGCACCCAGCCCTCCCTGCTCCTTCCTCTGTGCCCCACGCCCCTACCTTTGTTCTGCAGGCATGGAAGAGCTCCAGGATGTTGGCCAGGATGCATTTCTCCACGCAGTCCAGCAGTTCTGCCTTGGGCGCACGCAGTGCAATCTTGCCATAGGTAAGCATGACTGCAGCCCATGTGGCCTGATGTCTCCGCTCCCTGTCCGGCAGCTGTGTTGACAAAGATGCCCCGAGATGTCAGTCCGATGCCCTGCTGTGCCCCGGGCCGCCGCCAATTTGTGGGGCTGGGGAGCGGGGCTGTGAGGGAGCTGTCTGGCTCGGCTGTGCAGGGCCGTGGAAAAGCATCTGAAGGAGTTTGTCCCGGTCCTGCCCTGAGGCGAGCAGCCCGTGCCCGTCAGGGGTGTGCTGGCCGTGGAAGGCTTGCCCGTGGCCCCCAGGCTAGGGGCAGAGCCAGCCACAGCTCACAGGGCTCCTGGCCCTCAGCTTTCTGCAGGGGGCAGGCGTCTTAGGTAGCTCTGCCGGGAGGGACAAGTGCAACGTGGGTGCCACGACTCGGCCACCACCGTTCGGGAAGTGAAAAGAGGGCAAGAGAAGGCCGAACACTCAAAGCCTGCAGCCATTACCCTTTGCCGTCTGCCGAATTTGATGAGCGCCTTGCGGACCATGCTCATTGCATCCAGGGCCACGTAGAAGTGGCGCTCAGCAGCGTAGGAGACCACGGAAGCTATTCCCTGCAATGACGGAGAAATGGGAGTGAGCTCTGGCACGTGTACGACGGCAAGGCAGGACATTGCCCGAGGGAAACGGCAGCTCCCAGGAAATGGAAAAGGTCCGGAGCAGGGACATGGGGACACTGGGCAGAGCGGGGGCAGGAGAGGGAGAGGAACCTTCACCTGTTTGTCACACGGCCTGGTGGCATCCGTTTCTTTCAAGTATTTCAGCAGCTGCCCTTGGACGTGGGTGAGCCGCCGACAAGAGGCCAGCACCGTGCCGAGAGCCCGGTACAGGAACTCCTGCAAGAGAAGAGCCCGAGCCCGAGCCGTGGTAGCGGAGGGAAGCACCTTTGGGGCGAGGGCAGGGGGAGCGGTGCCGACAGCCCGCACGGGAACGCGCTCCTTCAGCCCCAGCCCCGGAGCCGGGTGCCCCGGGCTGTGCTGCCAGGAGGGCGCAGGCAGGGAACAAACCTTGTCCTCCTTGCTGCTGGAGGAGCTGCTCAGCTGCTGGCTCAGCTCCCGGCTCAGGCACACGATCCATGGCTGGTCCTCCTGCATCTCCTCCGCTGACTCCGTCAGGAACTGGGGGGGAACACGACAGGAGGCCAATGTTGTCTCGCCCTTTGCCCGGGCCTTGCACAGGAGCGGCGGGGGCACAACTGCCCGCAGCCTCACCCCCGGGGATGCTGTACCTTAAGCAGATAGCACTGCCACTCTTCGGAGTCCAGGGAGCCCTCTGGATGCTCTGCAAAGCAAGAGGAAGCAAAATCCCTCGCTGTCACTTGAGCCAGCACCAGGGAAGAGTTCCGCGCTCTCCTTCCCTGGGAGCCCAGACCCCCACAAGTCCCAGGCTTGACAGGGCCTCAGACTGCCTGCACCACAGCTCTTGCCAGGCTGCAGACCCCAGGGGCAAGCCGATCCCAGCAGATCCCAGCCTCCACGCTGGCTGCCCGGAAGGGGGACGGCAGCGGTTCCCCTCCGCCGTGCTGGG